AAAAGCTAGGCCGATTGTAGCATCCATGTTAATCTAGGCTGCCAAAGTAAGAAAGGTGTACAAGCAGAAGAAAAATAGTAGGAAAAAGCAATTGAGTTAAGACGTTTCGATCCATTAAGTCATATACGTCTTAGCTGAAAATTCTTATAGCCCACTCATTAATGCGTGAAAGCTTTGATGCCATTCCTCGTTCAGCTTCAAAGCTGTGACTTCAGGAAAATCTGATAAGATCCAAAACCACAGCCTGGGCAGTTGGTGTAACGATGGGATGCTTTCACACGCCGAGCGCAAGCCCCACGCAATTCACTCCTAAGCTGCACACCTTACTAGTACTCTATAGCCTGATCAATGTATGCGCACTATCACTCGAGTTGTGGCTTACTTTTTTAAGGGCACCGACCACTCACTAATAGATGACATCCGCGATTGTCAGCAAGAAGCATGACCTGCCTCGTGGTCGCAGTGATATCCTGCATGCCTCTTATCCAACGGGGAATCTTACTTATCTACGGTTGCAGTGAAAAAAGCAAAAGCATTTTTCGTTCTGCTGTTCAGCCTGCCATAACCAAACTTTGCTCTTCTACTTTCGTCAGCGACTTGTATTTTGTATTTGTATGGTCATTGCCTTGGACATGGCTGTCTTGAGTGTGGTCCCTTAAAACCCTTTGTTCGTGCCATCCCCGCCATAGCACTCAGCGCCATGTCCCTACTGGCATTTCTTTTTAGGCCTGGAAAAACCTTCAGGCGCATCGCGAAGTGACGAAATATCAAAGGAAGAGGGAGAGATTGACGATGAGGAGGAAGCGGCAAATGCCCAGGCCAGCAGTGCCCATCAGCCAAAAAACTGGTAATTATTTTTCGAAATTTCTCCCTCACCATTATTCGTTATGGAAATCTCATACTTTACTAATTGCTTGTATACCTGAAACTCTTAATCCTTTATCGGCGTCATCCTAGTGGATCAGCGCGTTACTAATCCGGATTGCTATTTGAAAGTAAAATGTGATAGTTTCAGCAGTCTTTCCAGTGCTTTCTTTCGCCACTGAAACCGTGTCTTTGCGTGAGGAGAACTGATGTTAGTGCTACCGCTGAAGCCACCCCACATTTCGGGCACGGCTGTGCCCGTCTTTTTGCTTCACTTCTCCAGGTACCGCCCGCCACCTCTTTCGAAAGTCGCCCAAGCGGTCGTTCCTTTTCGTGGATACGGTTCCTGTTACGTACCGTCCACTGTCTTCCAACCAGGAGAACAACACATCTTGCCTTTCATCAGCTTTCTCCGAAGTTGTACGCACTGTGAATTTCCTGTTTTTGATACCGGATTTCATCATTCGTCGTTACACTGTGGTGTACATTCGTGCAGCGGCGACTCATCGGTCGCCAAACATCACCCGGTCGACCGACAGTTTTCCCATATTCGGTTTTATTAAATTTGCGCCACCTGACGATCAGGCTGCTGATTGTTTTGTCATTCGTATCCTTGATTTCTCCTGTGCTACCAGAGTCATAATAAAAAATATCTTCTCTCATTTTTGCGGAAAAATAGTAGTAGCTTTCGTGGCAGTCACTGTACAAACAGCCATTGGGTTTACGAGTTTCGCAACCGAGCAAATTCATAAATATTAATGCAGCGATGATTCAGATAGATTATTAAATCGAAAATTGCCATTGCTCGCACTGCAGATCGTTTTCAGGATAGGCTACCAGAGTGCGGGAGGAGCGCCTGCCGGTGCAAATAAGTATCGTCACAGCGGCCAGCAATATGAGCATTACTCGTTGTACAGCACTCCACATTCAGCTACTCGGCAGCTAGCCGTCAACATATCTGTTTCATCAACCGTTGCCTCACCAGGTACTGCTTTTTTTTCCTTTTTATGCGTTTTGTGCTGTGCAACAGCGTTACAAAACGCATATTGTCACGGGGTTGTCTGTGTGTGT